TAGATTCACTCTGCACATGGACACAGACAAACAAAGAAACATCTACTTCTTCAGAGTGATGAAAGATTACAGCAAAGTTTGTTAAATCCTTGCAGTGTCCACAGATCACCCAGAGGGGAATGTTTTTTTTTTCCTCAACAAAATCAGAGTTACTCTTTAAGTCACACTCAACCCACAATATCATTTTTGTGAGAAAACAAAAAAAAAAAAAAGTCTAATGGCAGCTTTTAGCTTCTCTGGCAGAAGAATATGAAATCTCATGCATGCTAACATCCTCTCCCTCACACATGTAACCCAAGGCTGACTTTCTCATTGTTCTCCTCCCTTTATTTTTGGGCTGCCTGTTTGCTGATTTCCTCCTCCTCCCTTCACCAGCCGGCCAGACACGAGCTTCATTTGGTTTCTCAACCCCCTGAAGTCTATCCGCTACTTTATCTGGCATACTTACCGCTGGCTGATTCTGAAAATCCTCATCCTCATCCTCCTCCTCCTCATGGTGGGCCTCTTCCTTTACTCTTTGCCTGGATACCTAGTGAAGAAGATCCTTGGAGCCTGAGGAGGTTCTGCCATGGTACTGTCCTCTCCTATCTCACTGTCATTCTCTAAATCAGGTTTCCACCATTTTTTGTTTCACTTTTCTGTCATTCAGACTTTCACAGTGCTAAAGATCAAAGCTGAACTCCAGGCAGACATAACAGACACAAAATAATGAAGCTCTGTATTCACAAACTCATTGTTAAATTAAAATTTTTTAAAAGAAACATTGTGAGTACTTGAATTTGACTTGGTTTCAGCCATTTGCTTTCCCTATACAGCAGAGCTCAGACTGAAAGAGGAAGAAGCAGCCAATCAGTTATGCTGCATTTCTCAAATGCTAACAAAGAACACGCTGATAGGAGGAGAGATTAGAGATGACCTCATCAGTCACTCTGTTGCTTCTCCTTCACAGGTTGGAGGTGTGTGGGGGAAAGCCCTACAGCCCCTAGAAGAGCCCTACCGTAGAGTAAAATCAGGTCTCCTTCTGCCAGACCGGGCTGTGCTGTTAGAGCTGTATTCATCTCACAACATAATCCTCTGACAGGTCTCTTATATGAATTGTAAAGGTCATTTGCCTGGAATTCAGCTTTAAAAGGGTCGGTCCACCCAAAAGTGATGTTCTGGTTGCAGTTGGTGTCTGGTGGGCTGGGTATCTGTCCAGTGGCTACATTTTCTTTTTCTGCCTACCTTGTGTGTTGTCACCTACCATGGGTGTTCTTATTCTTTCTGACCCCTCAATATAAATGTAATGAAAATCTACACAGGGAAAGTGGGGCTCCCTTATAATGGTTGCTGTAGGTGTGCGGACCTGGGCGTTCAAGGAGGAAAGATCTCACCAGCAGAGCCCCCTACACCAGTGTTCCTCTCCTGCCATCCTCAAGATCCCCCAACAGGTCATGCTTTCAGAATCCATGATTTGTAATTAGCACAGCTGGTTTAGTAACTACTCCACCTGCTTTATATGGGGGTAATTTAGAAAACATAACCTATTGAGTGGGCTTGGGGATGGACTAGAGGACTCACTCAGAATGAAGAATAAGCATTATGGCCCTCATGGGGGCTTATGCATGTAGGAATGAAAGATTATGTAACGAGAAGATTTGTGCACAACAGTCAGTGTAGAGTAGGACAATAACTATGCAGGACTAATAATGAGGAGAACTCTTCTTTTTGTTTAAAGAGAACCTGTCAGCTATTTTAGCTTTTAAATTATGCTTGAAATTACCTGGTTAGTCAAAAAAGTCACTCCTTGTATTGGAGAAAGATAGGTAGGCAGCGCTTAGACCTGAACTCAAGGAGGTAGAGCCCTTGGTAAAAAAAAAAAAAAAAAAAAGAAAAAAGTCAAGCAAGGGTGAGAAGGACAAGCGATGGTGTATTTTTAAGGTAAAAAGTACAACATAAGACTAGCACACTTAGCATGTGATTACAATTCATCTCTAACTGACATAAATGTACATTATCATTTCTTCCCGTGGTTCCAAACTGTGGATACAAGCCAATATACTGTATAGTCATTGCAAAATAATCCCTTACTTCCCACTGACTTCTGATACAAGTCAATATATAGTCATTACAAAATAATTACTTACTTTCCATTGGCTTCTGATACAGGCCGGTGGTAAAGTAATAGAAGTATACTCCCTTACCTTCCATTAACTTCTGATAAATGCATAAGAGAAGGAGAAGGAACAGGAGGATACTAGCTTACCTTCCATTGGCCTCTGATACACGCCAGCGAGAAGCAATAAAAGAGCAGTCACTTATCATTCTATTACTTTCTGGATAAATGCCAGTGAAAAGCAGTAAAAGGATACTCCTTACCTTCTACTGGCTTCTGATACAAGCCAATAAGTAGTCTTTGCAAAATACTCCATTATCCTCCTTTGGCTTCTGATACAAGCCAGTGGCAACCAATAGGTTATACCAGGGGTCTCCAAACTTCCTGAACAAAGGGCAAGTTTATTGTCCTTCAGACTTGGGGGGGCGCAATGGGAGTGAAAATGCCCCAGCATCAGTGGTAGTCTCAGGCTTGGTGGTCTGCTGGAGTAAATACATTACGTAGGTTATGTGGTCAGTAGGAGGAGGAATAGTGCCCCATGATTGGCATCAGTGGGGGGAATAGTGCCCCATCATCGGTATTAGTGGGAGGAATAGTGCCCCATCATTGGTATCAGTGGGAGGAATAGTGCCCCATCATTGGTGTCAGTGGAAGGAATAGTGTCCCATCATTGGTATCAGTGGGAGGAATAGTGCCCCATCATTGGTATCAGTGGGAGGAATAGTGCCCCATCATTGGTATCAGTGGGAGGAATAGTGTCCCATCATTGGTATCAGTGGGAGGAATAGTGCCCCATCATTGGTGTCAGTGGGAGGAATAGTGCCCCATCATTGGTATCAGTGGGAGGAATAGTGTCCCATCATTGGTATCAGTGGGAGGAATAGTGTCCCATCATTGGTATCAGTGGGAGGAATAGTGTCCCATCATTGGTATCAGTGGGAGGAATAGTGTCCCATCATTGGTGTCAGTGGGAGGAATAGTGTCCCATCATTGGTGTCAGTGGGAGGAATAGTGTCCCATCATTGGTATCAGTGGGAGGAATAGCGCCCCATCATTGGTGTCAGTGGGAGGAATAGCGCCCCATCATTGGTGTCAGTGGGAGGAATAGCGCCCCATCATTGGTGTCAGTGGGAGGAATAGCGCCCCATCACTGGCGTCAGTGGGAGGAATAGCGCCCCATCACTGGCATCAGTGGGAGGAATAGCGCCCCATCACTGGCATCAGTGGGAGGAATAGTGCCCCATCACTGGCATCAGTGGGAGGAGGGATCACTGGGCATCATAGCGCCCCATCACTGGCATCAGTGGGAGGAATAGCGCCCCATCATTGGTATCAATAGGAGAAAATAGCGCCCCATCATTGGTATCAATGGAAGAAATCGCGCCCCATCATTGGTATCAATGGGAGAAATAGCGCCCCATCATTGGTATCAGTGGAAGGACTAGCGCCCCATCATTGGTATCAATGGGAGAAATAGCATAACATCATTGGTATCAGTGTGGGGAATAGCGCCCCATCATTGGTGTCAGAGGGAGGAACAGTGTCCCATTGTTGGTGATAGTGGAAAGAAATTGTGCTTCATCTTTGGTGTCAGTGGAAGGACTAGTGCCCCAAGGCTTAGATAAAGCCAAGTAAAGTGCTGCAGTTGGGAGACCACTGGGTTAGATTGTTAGGGGACAATAGGGGAGATGAACAAAGCATTTAAAAAGGATTTTACGCAGCAGTTTAAGCAAAGCCATTTTTGAACTACATTATTATTTCTGGACATATTTGCATGGCAGTGGTAGAATCTGAAGGCAAAAAGCAGCTTACTTGAAACTAGAGTTTTTCTTACCTTTGCTTAAAAATAATCGGAGATATTTCTTTCAGAAAAAAAACAACAGATTATCTTTTTTTTGGCCCCCTTCTTAGCATCACATACTCCTTCCTTCCCCCTCCACTCCATGTAGCCAATATAAACAAAGAAAATGCCTTACACCTCTAGATATAGAGGAGAATGAGACTCTTTACCCTCCATGTCATGTGATATCACTGGTGCTTGATGACTGGCCCTGCACTGTCACATGTAGACAGGAGGAGACTTCTCTGCCCCATGTAAAATCCAACTATAGTGACTCATGAATTACACAGGGCTTCCTTTCCTCACTCCTGCCAACTAAACAGAATGATGGGAAAGTGAAAGCTATGTGATCAAGTACTGCTGGGGAGTGTGCCAATAAAGTAAAGCAAAAGATCACTAAAAAGGTATCTGCCAACATAAAATAATTGTCATCTCTAATCCAGTTGTTTCAATTAGATTGAGAGAGAATAGTAAGTGTGTGGGGCACTTCTTAACCTTTCCGGACATCACCTGGAGGAAGAATTGATTGCCTGGGTTGGATCACCCTTGCAGACCAATGTATTTGAACCAGGTCTGAAGATATCCTGCATGCATAGTTGGCCAATTCCTGTGTATGTTCTTGAAAAGATCTTGTGGCTGTTAGATTGTGCCAACATGTCTATGCTATTATATCTGCAGGAACATTTAGATCCTTGTCTGCTCATAACTAGCAGGATAAATAGAAGCCCACTGGTAAGCTACGGAAAAAAAAGGCTATTTTGCCCTTTTATTAGCGGCTCCCCCAAGAGACATTCTAATTAGAGACCAGGACTTAGGTGTAATGTTTTACTAGTAGCATGAAGGGTGACATTATCTGTGCTCCACTGAAGTCTAAAACAAGTCAGGAAAGGGGGTCTGGGGGTTAATCCTCACCTCCTCTTTACCTCTGCAGGTTTTTGTTGGACAACTAACAAACTAATTTTACATTTCAGAGACACCACTGCTAATATTTTTCTACTAACCACATCTATTTATCTCCTTTCCTCTCCACTGCCCACTTTGCTTGGTTCTCTCCACCTTGGACAGTCGGCCTGACACATCTTTCATCTGGTTCCTTAACCCGCTTAAGTCCATCAAGTACCTCATCTGTAATCGCTACAAGTGGCTCATCATTAAGATCGTCTTGGCCTTGCTGCTACTGGCGATGGTGGCACTCTTCCTGTACAGCATGCCAGGCTACATGGTCAAGAAGCTGCTGGGAGCATGAAGAGAAACTCAAGAAGAATAGACTCTGCAGTGCCTATCCTTGCTCAAAACGTTTGTCCTTTCCATCATAGACTGTATAGTATTGTGATGGGTTTCAGCAAAACATTTTCTGTGTGAATTTTTGTTCATTAGTTTCTACTGAGAAGCGACTGGAAGGGGGAAAGCAAACATTTGCCGAAAAAGTTGAGGCTCCATGGTTGGCCTATAAGTTTTTTCCTTTAGCAGCAAAAGCTTGCTTCTTTTTAGATACTAACCTGGATTATTTACAGAACATTCAAAACTAGAACAATTCTCTTTGGTGAGATTTTTTGTAGATTAGACTGTCACTGAGTTTATGCACATGTTCGCCCAACAAAAGGCATGCATGTTTTACACTAACCAAACCAAGACCAGTAGGATTTTCCAATCTGTGACTGTCTCTTTAACATTGACCAAAGTTAATACAGGTGGTAAAGATGTAAATTTTGGTTTTGCATCCATATTGCAATACAGGGACCTTCCAGATAAGATAAAAGAGAGTTTTATAAAAGCTTTGCTCAAAGAGTAGGAGACTTTTTGTTCAAAGAGTAGGAGACTTAGGTTTGTTTTAATCTTTCAATTGCTAGGAGTTTTGAGATTATCATCCTCATGATTTCCTGGCTAGCAGAGCATGATGAAAATCATAGTTTTATGGCTGCTGAAGAACCAGACAGGGACCTTCCTCGATATGGTTTTTGAGTCATGCAAAGTTACTCATAAATGCAGTAACTGGATATTTCTCCCCACATTCCAGTATTCCTGATTCTAAATCCTTAATGTTGGAAGCGGCCACTGAAGTGGACATCTTCCTTATTTTTCAAATAAAACCAAATACCTCAAAATACCATGTCCAATCGAATTACGTTCCTTCAATCCTCTACTGATCCAAGGGTGGACTGGGCAGGGGGAAATTGCCTCCCAGGCCGCTCTAAATCCCTGTAAAGAGGCGGCAACGCATTTGCCGCAGACATGCCTAAAAGGCTTCCTTGTGCAGAGGAGTAAAAAGTCCCTGCCGGTGTCCTACAGAGGACAGAGCGCAGGCAGCCCCCTCCCCCCGACATGGAAAAGAGGCTGGCTCCTTGGCCACCAGAGGCTCTGCTCCCCTGGTTAGCCTCAACCAAGGCACCATGCTGCCCCCGGCCAACCAGTTCAGGAACCCCAAGTCGGTGCAGCATGCATGCATTGCCCAGTCTGACCCACCTGGTGAGCAGTGAGTACTTGGAGTGGAGCTTCAGCCTGGGATGGGGGTCAAGAGGAGGCAAAGAAGAGGGAGAGTGGGAGGGGGGGACGAATTGCTGCACCATGGGCCTTTGGGTTGTACTTGGCTCAGGGCCAAAAGTTGCCAGCCAGTCCCTGTACCAATACTATCTCTAAAACTCATAAATGGTAGCAGAAACCACAAGCTGCTTGACTATAGAATCTGCTGCCCTAGAATCCCTCAGCACAAATGCAATATCAACTGTCCATTGGTTGACCCTCTCCTTGATATAGAACACACAGGCAAATATGTTTGGCCACATGTCCAGTTAGCGATAGAATCTCAGAGCAGAAGTATCTACAGCCTAAATTAGTGTTTTATGATTCTACTAACTTTCATGGGTTTAAACAAATGGGGTGGCCAGCTAAACAGTGAATCATGTTTTAATGATATCCACTTCAAGATATCCAGTGGGAAAAATTTGTTAGAACATATATAGATGCACCAGATTAAAACTTATTTGTTTTTGAATGAAATGTATACTTATAGAATACTTCAACAGTTTATCCTCAGCCCGTCACATGACCAAGCCCATTCAAGCAAACAAAATGTGTAAAAATGATTATTTTAGTCAGACTTGATCTTAGCAAACCCATAGGCAGTCGGTCTTCCAAAACAACCAGCATCGTCCATATATCCAATCTTTGCTTGTGTAAGGGTATCCCAAGGGTTTTACTTTACGAGATGGTTATCAGAATATTATGTGGTTTGGAAATCAATTCAAGAATACTCTTTGCAGTTCTTTTTTTATTCCCTAGAATTGAAAGTTCTCTCTGCACAATTGAACATCATTAATTTCCAGTTGGATTTACTATTTATCATTTTGACCAAATGATCAATTAATCTGAGCCTTAAGGTATCAAGCATTCCAGTATAATAACTGAAAAACAAATATAATAATAATAAAAATAATAATAATAATAATATATTTAAAATACTTCTGGCAGGTTCCAGCTGGTCTTGTGGATATGATTTTGAGACACTTTTAATTATATATACTTAAAGCACAATTTTCTCAGTAAAATTGTAATTTTACAGCTAACAGCCTTACAGCTTACATCCCATTATTAAAGTCCAGTTACACCCTTACCCTGTTTCCTACCCCCAGCTCCCTTCTACATTTTATTTTTAATACATTTGTAAACATAGCTATTTTCCCGCAGTCTTTGGCACGGCAGTGTAACATCACAGGTCCTCTTCCTTTAGCGGTGGGCTTGTCCTAAATGCTGCAGAGAGAGGCACCACATAATGATGTGTCACCAATCTCTACAACATTCTCCTGTGTGGTCATGGTGACCTGATGCTATGCCCTCCAGGGTACAGACCATTGACACTGTCCGCTCACAAAAAGTTGGCTTAATCACAATGGGCATCTGGAGCAATGAGTCTACAACTGGAGAGGGTGGAGTATTGTAGCAAGAGCTGCATATTTAATTGTAGCAAAAAAAAAAAATGTCAATGAAAGAAAAAAAATGAGAATTACTTGATTATTAAAGCCCAATTGCCAAACACTAGCATTGGGACTGTCATGTTGGAGGATTGTTGCTCTAGAACCCTAAAGAAGAATGTCAGGTATGGCCTTTTTATTGTGTAATTACAGTGGTCCAGCTTGCAAAGCATTCTCTGATTGGACGAGGTGGAGAGCATGATGCCACCACCCCGCCTCTCAACCTCATTCAGAGAATGCTTTGCATTCTTGAAAAACACAAAACATTCTCTAAATGGCACCCATACCGAGCCTGTGTTTTTGGGATGGGATCCAGAAGCTGGTAGAGATCGCTGGAGTAGTAGCTTCTTCTACAGTGATTTACAGCTTCTAGAAGGATCCCACAGGTATGGTACTGTATATGCATAGTTAAAAGGAGGTATAAAAAAATGTTTTGAATTTTGTAAAACACCAACAGATGTCAGCACAAGGCTTCATACAGAGTCACAGGGAGCACCGACTTTCATAAGTCAGTGTGCCAAAAGACATTGTGCTGTGTACTTCGGGAGCTGTGCAACTGGTGCTATTCTGACTGTGTGTTACCACGTCTTCTATTTCATCTTGGACAGCAAGTTAGAACAAAGAGCAAATGTGAGCTTCTGCATGAAACTGGGCAAATCTACCAGAGAGGTTTGACATGATTTGGCAAGTTTACGATGATACAGCAATGAGTTGTTTGAGGTGTTTTGAGTGCCAGGTCCCCAGTCTGCTGATGCAGGGGCAGAAGGAATACTGCATCAAAGTCAGTGTGCCGTGGATGACCCATACTTCATGTCGAGGATCATTACCAGTGACGAGACTTGGATGTATAGGTTTCACGCAGAATTTCACGTTTGCTCTTTGCTCTAACTGTCCATGATGAAATAGCAGATGTGGCAATACACGTGGTCAGAATAGCACCAGTTACACAGCTCCCGATGTACACAGGATGACGACTTTTGGCACACAGACTTATGAAAGATTGTGTTCCCTGTGACTCTGCATGCAGCCTTGTGCTGCCATCTGCTGGCGTGTTATAAAACTAGGCTCAAAACTTTTTGATACCACCTCATACATTGGTTCAAGCTGGTCCAATGTAACTATGCAAAAATATCCATATTAAAGGCAATTTAAAAAAAAAATAGCAACCATGTCATACTTACCTGCTTTGTACAGTGGTTTTGCACAGAACAGCCACGAGCCTCCTCTTCTCAGGTCGCTCCTGGCTCCTCTCTCCTGCTGAGTGTCCCCAGAGCAAGCAGCTTTCTATGGCAGCGCCCAAGCAGTTTGCTATGGGGGCACCCAAGCAGGCTTGCTCCTGAGCCGCTGCTCTAAGTGTCCATTCACACACAGAGCCGCAGCTTGGCCAGTCCCCCTTTCTCTCCTCATTGACTCACTGGCTGTGATTGATAGCAGTGGGAGCCAAAAGCTCCCACTGCGGTCTCAGCCAATGAGGAGGGAGACTCCGTGGAGAGCCGAGGCTCTCGTGCACATTGCTGGATCGTGATGGGGCTCAGGTAAGTATTGGGGGGGATGCTGGGGGGAAAGCTGCACACAGGTGGTTTTTACCTTCATGCATGGAATGCATATAGGTAAATAACCTTGAGCCTTTACAACCAGTTTAAGTTTCATTTTGGTAGGTGTTCCAGATCTGCAAACAATTTGAAAACCTGCAACCTATTGATCTGAAAAAGAATTCAGCACCAAGGCCTTCTATATTTTCTACATATGACCTGTGTGTTACAGCTGTGCAAATAGAAACTATAGAAATACATTCGTTTAGGAAAGAGTTCTTCTTTCATTCCACTCATGCAGACAAGTAGCAACTTCTAGAACAGGAGATATGCAAAATTATTTGACATGAAACACAATGCAATAGGCCTCATGCATTCAGTGATGATCAAAGCACAATATCCATTACAGAGCACAGGGTAATGTCTCCCAATCCAGACATCATTCACCATTGTTTGCATTTAATGTGTGATATCATGACATTTCCAGCAGTGTTTTGTTTTCACCCATCATGCCTCTTTCATTGTTACTTTCTTCCATCTTTATGATATAGGGAATTACCTCCCTGCCTTGCACTAATTTGAGTTTGTGTATGTTGTAAAGAATTTTATTTATAAGTTTTATTGTGTGAATTATAATTTTTTTTTTCTTTTTCTTATCTCTTTGTGTTTTGTCTATTTTTGTGTTTGTTGTTGTGGCTGTTATTTGCCTTGTTTGTTACAATAAAATGGTGACTCCATCCATCGTC